TTTTTTCTCTTAGGTTCTGTTTGGTACCATTTGTCTACTTGAAACATTGCCACATGGGTGCCATCCATCTAGGTGCTTTTAGTTTCAATGGCAATATTCTGTTTGGTTGAGACTGTTTTGAGTTAAAATGGTTATTAAACGTTTTTCCAAGAAACATAACCCCAAGTGGTGTTGGGTTGGGGAAACATCAAGTATTCAAGTGGATGTTTGGCTGTTGTAACTTCAAACGGCCTAACCAATTACATTTTGTTCGTGTTTTACTTGAAACAAAGACATAGGCATGGTGCTAATGTTTCCTCCATCAGCAGCCCATTTGAAGAAACAACCCAATGATTCGGCTCTTGGTTGGCATCTTATATGGCAGTCTAGAGATGTATTCTAGTGCATCACATACTAGCAAAGATAGATATATATATACACAATGAATACCCGTATATCCTACCTTCAAAACAAAGTTTTTTTTTTTCTTTTTTTTTTTTTAGTTTTATGCTTATAGAAGCATTAGATCTGTACTTATCTAAATGTTAATTAATTTATGTGTAATGATGAATAAATCATATTTAAAAAATGTTTACTTTCAAATTTGATTATTGGATAAGAGATTAGTATAGTAATGTTGTGTCATCATAGTATATTCAGGCTCTTAAGGTAGCATTGTCAATATGAGACACACAATACTGCTCAAAACACTTTTCAACTCCTAATCTACATATATACCAACCAAACAAGTTTCATGCATGAAATGCGTTGTCTCTCTAAATGTTTGAGCCTGAAGTGGAAATGCTACCAAACAAAACCTTATTTTCAATCAAACCAAAAACTACTTTTTCATTTAGTATTTTTTCTATATATATATATATAATATAAATACCACCATTTATATTTCAGACAAAATTTTTACCCTAGTATTGAGCAAGAATGAAAAGTTGAAAACATTCACAAAGAAAAATCCTCCTTACACCCCCATAGTTTGGTGGTGAAAGGGGGTAGAAATGGTTAGGTAAAGTGGTATGAGTAAGTATTTGACCAAAATCTTAGGAAGCTATAAGAATCTGGATTTCCTCACAAAATCCTCCTTACGCCCATATCACATCACTTGCAGCCACCCAAAATCTTTGGGAGCTATAAAGAATCCAAATTTCCACGCACAAAGTCCTCGTTGAACCTATCTCACAGCACTTATAGCCGTGCATTGGGAACATCTAACCATAGTAAGTATGGAAGATGATGTAAGGAGAAAACCTCCACAAATAATTCACATTCATTTATTCTATTTTAAATTGTCATTTCAAATGAAATACATCCGATTCATAAAAGAGATGTAACCAAATTAATCTGATGGATTTCAATGAGCTATTTTATGAAAAAAAGGATAAAAGACAATAGAGGGGGAGGACTGGAGAGTAAAGTAGATGCATGTTTAATTATAAACTATAAACAATGACAAAAAGGGGGGACAGGAAAACAGGGTTAATTTGAAAAATGACAGCTCATCAGAGAGGTCTGAATGAGAACATGTGTGTACGTAGACACGACTTCTTCCTCCATGACTTTATTACTACTTTTTTGCTTTTATTTGGAACAAATAAATTATTAAAGAAACAAAAAATATGTTTTATCATGAATAAGATGGATGACCTAAATGCACTGAATTTTGTTCGTAAAAAGCTAGCATACAAGAGTTAGATCCACGCATTGCATAATTAATGAAAATGGTTATTTCCTAATTTTTATTAATTTCATTTCATTTCTCTTAGGTCAGGTGTCAAGCTCAGGAGCCTAGCAACTTTGTCCTTCCCTGCAAATTAAATTTAAGTCAGCAAATTAGGCTTCCCACTTCCCATACCCCAAGAATTTAATGAAAAAGACAGTTTGATTTGAAGGATGGGTCCCATGCATGAGACAATCACAAAGCCATCTTCTCGAGTGTACAACAGTAATATTATTTCTGATTCCTGTTGATGAATTCAGAAGAACCCAACCCTACAAAACACAGAACACGATGATGAGCATAAATGATGGACAGACGACAGATCATTCATCAAACTCTAAACATATATATAGAGAGAGAGAAAGAGAAACCATGCATGTGCAAGTGAAAAAAGAAAAATCATTAGAAACAGAAACTTGGCCTGAGCCCCATCCTTCACTATTGGCCTTATATATTACGATGGGGTAGCAATTTTGTCCTTTAGCAAGCAAGGTGGCAAATTAAAGCTGTCCCTGCTCCTGCGCCCACTGCATGGGTTGTTTCATCCTCATGGATGGATGGATATATATATAGCTGTATGCATGCATGTAACACATGCATGAGTGAATAAACAATGAAATTAAGATATATACCTAATTAATCCAGGCTACCTCTCCTCTCTCCTTCCTTCCCACTATATTCTCTTGTCTTAGCTTAATTTGATGATGATTTCAATGTTGCTACAATCACAAACATGCCGGGAATTCTCTTATTCCATCCTATTTAATTGTTCTAATAATTGCTTGCTTAATATTTATTATATGATCATTAGCGTGGCCATTGTCGCTCAATGGGGGCGATCTCCTTAATTTCATGTTTTAAATTAATTGCATTACTAATTTACGTTAATTATCACACAACACTAGGGTGACCTTCTTTTTTTTATATATATTTATATATATATATATATATATATATATATATTTTTTTTTTCTATTTTAGAGCTTTAAACAAAAGGGCTCCTCCACACCACCTTCCTCAGCTATATATAGTCTGTACAATTATATATGCATACATCGTCGCTACTCGCTAATATTCTAATGCTTCTTCAGTCTTCATCCAATTCGTTTGGTCTCAGATCCATGTTCCCGAAACCTCCATCACATGCTCACTGATAGATTAGATTTACCGTTTACGGTTTGCGGCATGATTTACATGCCTAATCTACCTTGATTCCCTGCGTCCACCTCCACATAATTAAAAAATAAATAAATAAATAAAAATCCACAACTACTGATTGATCCCAGAAGATCTAATTGAATAAATTACTAGTTTGTGCTGTCACAGATTGGGGATTAATGTGTTTAAATTTCTTGGGTACGACTTATCCATGTCTTGGGTATTATATTAATCCAGTACAGTTATTACAACCATGTTCATTAATTAGGCACTACAGTACTACCTATTAAAAAAATATCACACTTTTACGTTATAAATTCACGAATTAACTACTTAGTTCCTCAGAGTTTACTACTTTACTTTGGGAAAGGTTTGCAAAAAGCAGAATATATTAATGGGGGTTCTCGAACGATTTCCTTCCCTCCATAAATGTCAACGTGGATTTCTTCTTTTTCCAGACAATCCTTTGTCTCAACAACAATGGCGTGGGTAGTGCACTTTAGAAAACGATCTGTGCATGTCTATGTGTAGGCACATTTTATGATCATAGTTCAGTGATTTGTTTATTACTTGTTCTCTAATTTCTTTCCTTATTAATTGTTACAGGCATGCCTCCCTATTTATTGGTTGATGGATCAATTCTACGTACAATCTGGTGCGCCATATTTATGGAACTAGAGGTACGCTTATTAGTTTCCTTTGCTTGGGTTTTTATCCCTACTTATCTAATTTGATCATGTCGTGTCGAGGGCCCTTAGCAGATTTCAATGTAGTCTTGTTGGTTTTTCGAATTTCCAAGGGGGAAAGTCCGTCAATAGGATTGTGGTTCCTCGATCTTAATCAAATTTTTTATCTTCTTTTTGTGCATTTATGTAGGACCCATAAAAAAATTATGATTTTCTTTTCTCTAAGTATAACAATCTTCCAAGTGAGTAAATAACTTTTTCACTAAAGAAAGATACCGGTACATGATGAAACAATATTGTCCCTTCTAGTTTTGTGTTTTTAAGGATAAAATGACCATTATCTCACTTACCTAGGAAATAAAAGATTACAAAAAAATGCACTGGCCCAAATAAATACATTTACCCGGATAAATAACCAAAAGAAAAATTAATGAGACCTTACTGTTTGACTGGACAAACTAGTTAATAGGCATGCCACCTCTTATTTGCAAGTGACTAATTAGGTCAAAGTGATGGCTTTTGATTTATGAGAAAATTAAATGAAGTTTTTAATTATAAAATAGACCAATCGAGGGCTGGCTGGCTTATAGGTGTGTTAGTTCCAATGTTAACGTAGAATCATATCCCACAACCACAACCAATACTTAGAAAAAAAAAAAAAAAGAGAGAAAAAAAATTATGATAGAATCCAAATTCAAATTCGAAGGATGGATGGAGAATGTTTCTCTCTCTCTCTCACCTGTTCATTGGAAAATATTATACATATGTGCATCCACCAAGTTCAACCTTTTTTCCCTTAGATGATTGCGTTTCCCAAGTTTCGCCAAATAATGATTGTATCACTTTTAGGTAAAGAGGCTAAAAGAGGTGACTGACTGGATTACAGAAGAGAACTGTATCAAGAGAATATGGGGTAGTACGTGTTAAGATAGGTTAAATACAGGTGACGCATTTGACAGACAGATAGCAGAGAAATGGGGGGGGCAGGGAATGGGAGTCGTGACAACAGGTCACATGTACTCTATCAAAGAGGAAAAGACTTTTATGAAGCCAAAGCCACAAATGAAAATGAAGAGGGGTATATGAATATGATGCGATGCCTTCCATTGTCAGCGGGACATTACCAACGTCTCCTTCACGAGAACGAGAACGACCCCTTCCAACTCTCCTTGTTTTTCTCCTCCACCTTCTGTTTGTCTTCTTTCGTCTTGGAATGTGTGCACCGATTCTCTCTCTCTCTCTCTCTACTCAATTAGTATTGATGCTTTACTATGTAGTCTGTTACTGTGTTCATATATCGTATATGAACTCAGCCTACATCATCAAAACAGCTTTATCCAAAGCCATTCTGAAGAAGGTGCCAAGTTACAAAAACTAAAATTAACTTAGAATGCTTCGATGATCCATCCTCGCAAACTATCCCTCAAATATCGGGAAGCGGAAGGTATATAATCCAAATAAGCAGAGCTTTATTCCATCCAAACTGATTTGCAGTTCAACTCAACTGAGATTTAAGTGGATATTTACTATTCTATACACCAATCTAAAGATTACGATGAAATGAGTTCAAGCTTAACCGAATAGCATATACGGTCTCTCTCTCTAAACTCGATGGATTACCAATCGAACATGTGTTGACTTCATTCAATGGAAATGGTGTTGCTCAGGCCACGGCCAAAATCCGGGCTGTTCATCGATGCCACAGAACATGTTGCAGAAACTTTCTTCTTGAACAGTTTGTTCCATTTTTGGGCAGTGGAGGTCTGATCTTGATGAATTCTGGAGGAGTTGGGCCACACTTGCAGGCCTGACGATGGATGATGGGAAGAGGGGTCTACTCGGGTGGTGGGAAGAAAGAGGGCTGTCGATTGCTGGCGTTCTCGAGATGTCTAAGTTGATATCGGAACTATTCTCACTTCTGTTGCTGCAAGAACCCTCCGTTTCTTTATTGAGGTTGATGGATTCAGTCGGTTCTCTACTTTTCAGAGCCAATATCTGCACCCATTTTACCAACCAATAAAAATGGAGAATGAGTTAGGGAGAAATGCATCCAGTTCTATTCAGCTTTACAGTAAAAAATAAAAGAAATAACATGGCAACCATAGCTATCTTAATTTTTCTGAACCAACCTCAACATCTAAGGGAGTAGTTTTGTTTCTTGAGAGCCACCATGATTGTTCTTTCTCTTCAAAGTTCAAACTGATGATCAAGCAATCCACCGCAAAAGAAAAAGATTGAAGGTAGAGAAAGCGGGAAAACCAAAAAAACACACTTTTTTTTTTCTTTTCTTTTTCTTTCCTTTGAATTCTTCTTCTTTTAATTTGTTTAAATAGCTTGCCTAAAGGGTTCTTCTCAAAATAATGAAATCATGATCCCGAAAAAGTTTTCTCAGTGCACCCAAAAGTATTTCTACAAAATCAGCAGTCTTATATATGCACAATTTTCGATTTGTTCTTCTCAAAGTTAACAAGCTAAGATCCATTAAAAAAAAAAAAAGGAATCCGAGACTCATTTTATAGAATCAACAGTGTTCCAATCGCAAAAGTTGATAATTCTCATCTTCCGCCACAAATCAACTATCTAATTAAGATCTACTTCAAAGAGAAAACACAGCCCCGAAACCAAAGATGTAAATTTCAGCTCGACATACCCAAAATTCAGACTGATCTTGTTCATCAGAAATATATGTAAGTACCGGACCAACTGATGCAATCGTGCAGAACTGATAACATGTAAAATTCATACCTCTGCGTGAAGTTTCTTGTTCTGAGCTTGGAGAGCATCATTGTCCGATTTAACTGCCTCAAACTGTCTTTTTAGGAGCTCGTAGTCTTTCTCCAGTTGTTTGGTCTTCCACCTTGCCCTCCTGTTTTGAAACCATATGGCGATCTGTCTTGGTTGAAGACCAAGAGCCCTAGCGAGCTGCATTTTCCTCTCCGGCTCAAGCTTGTTACCTAATTCAAAGTTCTTCTCAAGTGTCTTCACTTGCTCCATATTAAGCCTCCTCTTCTTCTCTCCCATCTGTGATCCATCATCAGACAACTCCTCATCCCCATTCGTATCTTCACACACATCAATACCTGAGAATGACATGGATCTCTTACCCAGAAACGATGCAACACCTGCGGCACCAGAAATAATTGTTACAGATTAAAAGTTGGGAGCATTTGTGAGGGGGAAGATAGAAAAATTGAGAGAGAGAGAGAGAGAGACCATGGAAGTTTTGAGGCGTGCACTGTTGGAGGATTGGATTCAGGGAGGTAGGAGGGCGGCGGTCGTCTTCATGATGAGGAGTTTGTAGCATGAAATTGGCTGGGAAGAAAGCCATCCCATTGCAAGTCATGGATTAAGCTATTGTCATCGATCTAAAAAGCTGTGATGACGATCTGACTGCCATGCTGTTGGAGAGAGGAGGAGAGTGAAGGAAAGACTAGGATAGAGAGAGGCTTCAGAGTGAGGTGAGAAACGAGAAAGATGTATATATCAGGAGAAACTTTTTTTTGTTGCGAAAAAAACTTAGGGGGTACAAGAGACATAGAAAGCAACTTTTCGATTAGAAGATGCTAAATAGAAGCTTGGATAGCTTATAATAATTAAGATGTATAAGTTCTCAGGAAGAGGTTAATTTATTTAACTGTCGTGAGGAACATAACATATTCTTCCTCTTCCCTTCTTATTTATGTGTGTTTTCTTTTTAATTTTATTTATATAGCTAGGTTCATTACAATAGTTCAACTTTTTGTTTTTCTGTTTGATGTTATAAAAATGCTTATACTATTGATATGCAATTTTTAATTTATTTTGATTTAGTAGAAAGCAACAAAAATATAGCGCTTTAGAATTAATTTTAGCATAGTAGATAAAAGATAGCTTACTTAAGTTTCCATTTGAATGAAAATATAGCAACAATATATATATATATATATATATATATATATATATATATATATATACTTATTAATTAATAGAAGCGGGAAGTGGAGTTGAAATTCATACGTTTATACTGAAAATGGGGTTTACATTCATGCTTCTATATTCATAATTTGAAGTTTAATTTTTGAGAAAGAAATGAGTGTTTTATTTATAGAGTGAAAGAAAGTCGTATTTGTTAGGAAAAAGAACTGGTCCTGCTTGGTTTGCAAGAATAGAGACCTGGAATTGGGATCAGAATGATCCATTCTTACTCGAATTTGGTTGAGCAGCATCGGAATCCCATTCCAATTCTTGGCGGAATGGCATTCCCCCATTTGAGAGAACGGTTATTCCCTCTCCCTTCCTTACGAATTAAACCCTATTCCAATTCTTATACAAATCAAACAGACTATGGGAATAGACCATTCTAATTCTTTCGGAAAGATTTCCAGGACCAATTGGACTCTTAAATATTGCTATATTTTAAGTTGTTTTAGTGAAAGATGTCTATGGTTATTAAGAAAAAAAGGGTAAATTGATTGGCGATATCATGTGGAGAGAGAGAGAGATGAGGCAGGAATCTAGGGATGGGTCCAATGCGGGTGCAGCGCTTGTTACCTAACCCACCTACAAGGTATCGTGCATCAGGGGTTTCTTTCCAATCCATTATCCTTAGTAGTCAGTATTGAGCAAAGCTGAGGAGTGAAAAGCCCTTACTCCAACCCTACCGAGCTGGTCTTTTTTGTCCTTGTGCCCTTTGTGTCCATCTTCATCCCACTGCCTACTGCCACACTCCGAATAGCACTCGTCATGTCTCCTCTCTCTCTCTCTTCAGTCGTTTTTGCATACTCGACATTCACTATGGCAATTTATAATCAATTGTGCGATGAATAAAGAAAATATTGTATCTATTTTTTCTCATTTATTCACTATTAATAAACATGTACCATGTTATTGTGCCACGGCCAATGTTCTTGGTTTGTTTCTTATTTTATCTTTTTTGTCAATTTTAAATTCATTTTTTATCCGATACTGGAAGCCCTAACCTAACAACCACTTGTTACATTTTTATACTGAAAATATTTAAAATGCGCCTATTTCTTACCCATTAATAAAAATAAGAATGGCTTAATGTTATCGTCAAAGGACCTTGATTTCCTTCTTCCATTTATACCCCTGTCATTAAAATATATTTCCACCTTATTACATTTTCAGAAATTTATTAATATAATTTTATTAGTGTAATAACAATTATTAAGTTAATTTAATTATTATACTAAAATTTGTTATTTTCAAAATACTGTAATTACAGTAATTTTGAAATAACTGTAATTCCAATAATAATTATTAGTGTAGTTATATTAATTATTTTTTTCAAAATAATTATTACACTAATAATCATTATTGGAATTTTGGTGTAGTAATTAAATAGAGTAATCATTATAATAAATGTTTTAATATAGTTACAATTTCTTAAAATTATTTTTATTACACTAACAATTAAATTGTGTTATTTTCCAGAAAAATTTACTAGAAATCAATGAATATACAAAATTTTCAACCAATAATTTCTTTATAAATATTATTTAAAATTAATTAAAAATTATAAAATTGAAAAATAAATTCAACAATTATAGCTCCAGGAAAGAGTTGGTGGAGTTTGCAAATTGGCAAACAAAATATCATAATTTTGGAGAAGAAAATAAAAATATATATATTAATGTAATTTTGGAAAATTTCTTTAAAATGTAGTAAATAATTATTGAAAATTATTGGAATATTTTGGGAATTTGGGAATTTTTATTACATTTGATAGATTTTGGAAAATTATTTAAAAATTGTGTGATTTTCATTTTAAATTATTAAAGATAAATTAGTATTGGTAAAGGAAAATGTTAATTTGAACCAATAATTACACAAATTATTTCTTTTATTAATATAAATTAGCATAATATTAGAAAATTTTAGAAAAAGAAAATTATTAATTAACTTATATTGAAAAATAAAAGATAAATTAGTGTAATTTTGTAAATAATATATTTAAAAAATCAATAATTTAGTATATATACTTTTAGAAATTTACTAGGAGCCGATATTCAATGTATCCTTTTGATCATTTTTACCAGCAAATTAGACATTGGGTTTTCCCCTGCATCGCATGGGTTCCCTACTAGTATCTTTTAAAAACTTAATAAATTGACACCATTTGTATAATTTGTGTATTCTAAACGGTGAAAAGTAAGGGCATTTGTGGTTATTGACTTCAATCCCTTGTAGTTGTTTTACAACACCCAAAGGCTGTGTTTGGTTTGAATGAAAAGGTCAGATTTTCCTACCTTTCCCTTCCTGTTTTCTTTTAAACCAAACACAGCCAAATAAAATTTCCTTCAATTGGCTTGGTACACTGATTAGGACACTCAGTCATATATTGGTTAGCCAACAGTCCAAGACTCTCTAACTGCGTTGCCTTTATTGATCAAGACAAAACCTTCCAATCTTCCCCTTTACAAATTTTACATTCATGTTGCCTTTTTCCTCTGTGAGAGGGAGAGGGAGAGAGAGAACAAAATTAATAAATCCTTGTACTTGTAAAAGAGCCTGATAAGATTAAAAATAGAGATTGTTTTCTCTTTTGGGTGTGTAAGCTAAGGCTATACGCAGACTACCTATATATCGCACCCTTTAAGAAGAAAAATCAGATATATGATTCCGTATGCATATGTTCACAATCTATTGGCATCGTTTTCAATACGTTGTGCAACAAATCAAAAGAATTATTAGTAAGCAGTAATAAACATTACACATATCCAATCCATCTACCTGGTTGGACGATATATGCATCTAACCAAAGGCTCTTTGCACATTAATTTGAGGGTTGTGGGGGTGTTAGGATTTAGGTACAAGGGTGTAGACTTTAGAGCTTAGGGGGCGTTCTTTTCTTGGATTTTGAAAGGGGGGAAGTTAATCAATGGGATTTTGATTCTCATTGACCAAGAAACCCATGTTCTCTTTTCAGACTTATATAGGGATCAAGGAAAATCTATTTTCCTGGGTAAGTGATACCCATCTTCTAGGTGGGTAAATAACTTTTCCACCTGGGAGAAAGTTGCCAACACTTGAATGGGACAAAAATGCCCCTTTTAATAATTGAATTTTATGACTAAAATGGTCATTGCCTTATTTACATGAGAAATAAAAGAACATGGGTAAATGCACTTACCCAGGTGTAAGAGGTGTAAGGCTGAGGTGAGGAGCAGTCTCATTGAAAGATAGAGGAAGGCCCCATGAGGAAGGAAGGGTGAGGTTCTCTAGATTAGAGTTGCACAATAGGAGAGTTAGGGCGTATTCAAGAGTACTTGGTGGTAAATGCTTAGGATCAGATGAGTTCTAATTTGAGGAGGATCTCTATTTATGGAGGAGGTTCCGAGATCTTAAAAGGTATGAAATGAAGATATTCACTCCATATCAAGGAAGGGATATTTGACTCGCTGTCAAGTATTGGATGCACTATTGGGGTATCGCCACATGTCTCATGAGAATCTTCTCAAGGATTGACTTTCCTTATTCTTGAAATCCCTCATTACTCACATGTGCTACTACCTTTTTGTGCATTATAACTAATCCTATGTGGCAACAGTGATGTCACCGTTCGGCGGTCAATACTTCGTGAATTCCACGTGGCGGCTCGCGAAGTCCTTTGCTGTCGTGGGTTTGCGTGTGTCCAGGCACAAATGGGCTTCGCCGTGGACTCGGTCTATTGTCCTTTCTAACCTGTCAACAAGAACAGACTTGCGGGATGTGAGTTCATTGCATGTCATAGCAAGTGTGGATTCATCGCACACTCAGGTGTGCTTGGGTCTCTTGGACAAGTCTTTCTGAGGCTTATTTAGGTTCGGGTGTTGACTGGACTTGGTGGGCCACGAGTTTATCACGATTTTGCTTAATGTGTTGCGGGTTCATCGCAAAGGTGGCGATGTACTACACCGGGTATGTCTTTTCTAGGAAACACTTATCTAGGTAAGTATATTTACCCGGATAAATACCTTACCAAAAAATGAACGGGGTCTTAGAGTTTAGGGGTTCAAGGGTTTAGATTTTAGATTTTTAATGTTTAGGGGTTTAGGGTTTAGATCTAAAAATCAAGAGGTGGTGGACGTGGTATGAGTCAGGTATTGCTAGCTATTTTAATTTTAATTATTTATACAATGATAAACCACAAGGAGGAAAAAATTGCAAGTGCTTGTCATGAGCTTCTAAGCTATGTCCATTTCGCCCCCAATATCCCCAGAACTTGGTAAGTTTTTCTAACCCATTCAATTAATTGAATATGATCATGATAATCGTTCCAATTCCCTATCCCCGTTACACCAAGCCTAGTTTTGTTCTGTCAAGCCCTCAATCTGTAGTGATACGGAGTGAGCACCCTCCAAACATGGTGTTCGGATCTCCTACCCATAAGAACCCTATCCACATCTACTCACATGATATTATAACACTACATACATAATATCTTATGTATTTATAAAACTATCATTCATAGAAAAATATTTCCAATGTAAAATTATAATTGTAGTGTCTTGTGAATAATGGGTAGGAGATCTGATTGCCAAACATGATATATGAAC